AGGGCTCTACAAAACCCAGCACTACATGCCACACTGGCCCCACCCTCCTGGGTGTGCTGAGCTGGCCGAGTCTGGGAGTGGTGGTTAATGCCTGTAATCCTGGTACTGTGGAGGCTGAAAATACGTGGATCACTGTGAGTCTGGGCTATGTAGTGAGACCCTGAACCAAATACATTAAAAAAAAAAAGTTATGGGAAAAATGTACAAGGTCCTAAACCTATACTAATTGAAATAGCACCATAACAAATAACCTCAATGCTGTCAAGTGCACCTGCTTAATGAAATGTTTAGAGCACACATAATACTTGTAAGTCTATTGGACCTTAGGAAGTTTTTATCATCTTCCTATGCCACTGTAAAAAGATTGAGTTTTGGGGCCAGGGAGATGGCTCAGTAGAATAAGTGCTTCCCTGGTAAGAGCAAGGGCCTAAATTTAATCTCCGGTTCTGCAAAAAAAAAAAAAAATTGAGTTTTGATCACTGCATTCTGGCCACAAAATTAGCCCAGCATTCAAAGTGGCAGAGGCATTTAATGGTGGGTGATTCTCATCTTTAGCCAAATTTAGCATAAACTGTCAGTACAGTGGAAACCTCTGCAAGCGAAACTGGCTAAACTGCACTGTAGAGCATAAGCGACACCTTGTACAGTTATGTGCATATTTTCAGCCTGCGAGATCACAAAAATTTCAGTTTGTTGCTCTTCTGGAGCCATTTTTACAAAGTCAGACTTAACATCTCAGTGTATCTTGAAGAGTAATGTAAACTGTCATGTAAAATAAAACCTACTGCATAAATCTTCCTGTTCATACCATCCTGACCAAAAGACATCAACACTAGCATGTGTTATTAGACCAAAAATCATCCAGGGCCCTAAAGAGGGCTGGTCATTGCTATAGTTAGCCATGTTACCATTTCATTTATAGCAGGTGTATAAAATGTCTAAGTGGATGAATTCTTCTAAAGACCTATTTCAGGTTATCACATCTTTAAACTTTTCCTGTAATAACTTAATGATCTACCTAAACAATGGAGAAATTGCTGTCTTTACTTGAATTAGCTTTGAAAACAGTGCTTTAAATGTAGGCATGTATTCACACATCACCTCAGCATGAGTGGAATAGCTTGTTTAAAGACTATCATGTTCTAAATACCTATCCAAGATAGAGTAAGGTAATCAGAAGTATAAGTTAATACATTTTGCCACATTAGAAACTGACTTCATTAATATGCTTCAGGACATTTGTTGTTTTATCCCAGTCTGTATCAGAAAGCCCCAATGTGGACTACTGCGTATGTTTATTTCTTATAATATTTATGGATGAATTTATGAGCTCTGTTAAGTTGTGTCACACCTATGTGCCAGAGTTTGATGCCAGAGTTAGCCCAAGTTCAATAAATTTATTTTGTCAAGAAAATGATACCTTGATCATTACTGAACCAATAGGACTTCCAATTAAAGTGTTGTCTAGGACTCACTGTGTGGGAGGGGCAGCTGGATCCTGCATATGCATGGTGACAACTGGCGACCCCAGGGGCCTCTGTGGAGAAACTCACCAGTGGAATGGAGCACTGGGCCTAGAGGATGGCTGTGGCTGGAACTTGAGAATAGGTTTTATGGTTTCTGAGAAAAAGAGACTTCTGGGAAGAGCGTGGAGTGGTGAACAGCAGAGAAGAGGCCTCGATGAGGCTTATGTGCAGACTCTGAAAAAAGCAATGTAAGAAAGAGGAGGAGGAGGTGGGTCTCCAGGACCCAGGAAAGCTCTGAAGTTAGGGTGGAAGCCCACAGGGAGAGTGAAGAGAGAGACCTCATACAGGAGTCGGCAAGCAGTGCTTTCTCCCTGAGAGTAATTTGCTGGGACTGATTAGACCTCTGTCTGCCCTCACTGTCTACCACTGACAGCAGAGACATGCTCTGGAATAGATATTTTTTTCCTTCTTTATTGTTGATTGTTTTGTTTTATTTTATTTATTTATTTATGTGTGTGTGTGTGTGTGTGTGGCCAGCTCAGCCCACCAGGGGGCAGGGCTGGCTGGCATGTGGTGCTGGGGGATTGAACAGCGGTCCCTGTGCTTTGCTAAGCTTGTTCTAAGTAGGTGCTTTAGACCACTGAGCCATCTCCCCATCCCGATTGTTTTGGTTTTGTATGAGTGTGAATATTGTTTCTAGTTTTTTTCTGTTCTGTTCTTGTTTTTATTTCTTCTCTTTCCCTCCTGTTTTCTTTACCAATTGCTCAAAGTTTGTGTGTCTTCGTCCTCCAGCCTTGCTTCAATCTCTTCTTCTGCTTCTCTATTTTCCCCCAACCCCTTTTAGATTTTCTCCCCTGATGGTAAAATAGCTATATTGAAAGCTTGTTTAGTGTCAAAAATATTCTGGTTAGTTTTAGATGTTATTATACAATCACAAATGTAGCAATATGGTTAAACGTGGCAAATTAATAGTTACCACAGTTTGTGATTTTTTAGGCAGTGTTTGATGCTGTTGTTGTTGCTGATTGTACCACTTTAGCCAAAGAGACATTTTTAGCCAATTGCTTTTCCTATACCAAGTATGAGATTGCCTAATGGTTATAAAAAATACTATAGGACAGAGCCAAAGAACCAGGCCTGAGCCCAGTAGGCAGTAGCCCGCCTCCCCAACAAATTGAAGAGATGGGATCTTGCAATAAACTCAGAACTCAAAAGCCTAGACTCAAAAGTTAGACTGGGAATTCCAGTATTTGGAAGCATGAGATAGGAGGATCACTGCAAGTTTTAAGGCCAGCCTGAATTACATAGCAAGAAGCAAGATCCTGCATCAAAACATGCACACATGTGTACACACATGTGCGTGTGCACGCACACACACACACACACACACACTCAAGAAAAAAAGAAAGAAAAATAAAACTCAGTGTGGGTGAGGGTTCCTGGGAATGGAAACTTTTGGTGGACATATATTGAGACAGCATCTTTGGAGGGTAATTTGGTACAGTTTTTAAAAATTTAAAGTACATGTCTAGTAAATCTGCTTCCTCAGAACTAGTAGGCATTATCAGAATGCCCTTGATATAGGTCCAAAGATATTCATTTAGTGGTTTTCTTTTCTTCCTTTCTTTTTTGGTGGTAATGAGAAACTGGCAACAAACCAGGGACCCTGAAGGACACTACTTATTTCAGCCTGGTGGTTTTGCACATACAGATGGCATGTTTTTTGCCGTTTGACTCTTTTGCAGTGAAAATATATTAATATATTACTCATAAAATTTTGAAAAAGCTGAGGAAAGTGGGTTAGATAAGCTTAAATCATCTTAACCTAATACTGTAGCTTGGATAAGGCTGGAGTTGGAACAAAAAGTGAAGATACTGAGAAAGACCAATGGGAAGAGGGGAAAGGAAGAGGGGAATTCGGTGCTGTTGACACCTCTAAGACGCTGAGGAACAAGCAGATGCTCTGTGAGACATGTTGGCTGCAGAGTTTATATCCTGAAATTCCCTTCTCTTTGGTGCACACTAGTTGTACATTTGAAGTGACTGAAGAGCTGCAGAGTGGCAGGGGACCCACTGATAGGCGATGGGGCAGGGCTGGGCCCCCGTATGCAGCCCTTGATGAATTTACCTCTTTTTCCACTTAAAAAAAAGTGCTCAAGTCAGGTGCAGTGGCACGTACTGATGATCCCTGCCATTTAGACAGCAGAGGGAGAAGGGTCATGTGAGACCAGGAGTTTGAGGCCAGCCTGTACAACATACTGAGACCCTATCTCAGTAACCAAAGTTCAGTTTTGTTGTGATGTTCTTACTTGGGATTTTCTCTGGAGAATACTACATTATGAGTGAGGGCCACTGTTCTTTTTATAATTCTTCCTCATCTTAAAGGGAGTTTTACACTTTAGAGAATGGGATTATGTGTGTGCTACTCTTTGTAAAGGGCAGCTTTGCCCTTGACAGTGCTTGGTGTGCTTACTAAGCATCAGCTCGGAGCAAAACCCATGGCCCTCTCTTTTGTTCCCCTTAGGGCATCGATTGAAGAGAAATATGGCAAGGATCTGCTCAACCTATCTAGGAAGAAGCCATGTGGACAGTCAGAGATCAAGTAAGTACTGTGTGTCTTTTGGGCTTCCAGGTTGGCTAAGACAAATGGAGCCCCCTTAACTTTTGCAGATGTAGTTGGTCAGTAGGCTGCAGTGTGTTAGGTGAAAATAATTTTAATTTTTTTACTTCCAATCATAAAAAATACAAGTAAGCAGAAGACTTACATGAACTAGGAAGCCACAACTTATCAGTAATATTTCATATTCATTGGAATTTTTATATGGATACTTTTTGCATAAAGGTTATATATAATTTTATACTAGAAATATAAGACTTATTTTTATATGTATTTTAAATAAAATCATAATATATACATAGCTATATATTTATGCATTTTATGGTTTATAATAGTTATGAGAAATGTCTTTTTACATTCTTTATTTACCACCAGTGTGAAATTTCTGCACCATAATTATTCTTCATAAGCCATTCACTGAATACTTTGGGAATGCAGAAATGACCAGGACGTGGGACCTACTTTGAGACATTATCCCTCATGTGCAGACTGGCTTCATAATATCATATGGGAGCCTACACTTTGAAAGGCTTCATAATTGGCTCAGTGCTCTGCAGGCAGCGTCCCCTCAGAGATCCTAATGGAGTGGACAGGAGCTGGCATGCAAATTGCCATGTTTTATTCAGGCAGTCTGAAGAATCCTAATCTAAAAATTTAGTTTAAAGTGGTCCTAGGTGGCAAAGGCTCTACTTACCTAGCGAACACGAATGCAGATCCTTTCTAATGACCCCACCGAACACTCAGATCATTATGCAGTGTACACGCACATGAAAATAAGTTGCTTAATATGAGGGAACAGAAGCAATGAGGAGAGCAATAAGAAACGTGCACAGATTTTAGATACTGGATTTTTTTTTTTTTTTTTTGCTCCCAATGCCTTCAGGGCAGGTTTGGCTGGCTTGAGTTGTGGGGATTGAACCACAGCAACCTGAGCCTGGCTGCTTTGTTGAAGTAGCCACTTAAAAAACTGAGCTAAGGGGCAGGCCCCCTAGATACTGGAATTGACAGATCTAAAAAATAAGCCTATGTAAGATGTATAAAGAAAATAAGAGTGAACCATGCAGGGTGGCATGTGCCTGTAACCCCAGCATTGAGGGAGTCTGAGGCAGGAGGACAACTTAGTGAAATTCTGTCTCAAAGAGAAAAATCTAAGAAGGTGTGGATGTAGCTCAGGAGTAGAGTTCTCTTGTGCTCAGTCTACAGAACTAAAAAATAGGAAGGAAAGAGGGAAGGAAACAGGAAGTAAGAATGGGAAGGAGGCTGGGAGGGAGGCTGGGAGAGAGGGAGGGAGCGAGGGAGGGCAGAAGAAGGGAAGACAAGGAAGAAGAAAAACAAAAAGTATGAACTAAGTGGATAAGAAACGTAATTTTCAGAAGTTTCCAAAAATGTTTGAAGTGAAAAAATAACCAGGGCCTCCTGGGTCATGGTTAGGGAGATGCTGGTCAAAAGATACAAGATTTCAATTAGAAGAAGTAAGGGTAGGAGATCTATTGTACAACATTGTGATTATAGTTAGCAATAAAGAATTGTATTGTAGGGCTGGTGAGATGGCTCAGTGGTCTAAAGCACCTACTTAGAACAA